CTTCCCTTAGATGCCCTGTTCCCTCAGTAGTTGCAGGGGATAAGAAGAGATTGGGCGGGGCCGGGGGGGGGCAGTGTTGCATATTAACCCTCATTCTCTACTCCACCGTTTCTGCCCACTTCATCTATATCATAGCTACAGTTCTCCAACGAAGTGCCCTGGGGTCCCAGATAAGTCTTTAAATTAGTCACAGCCTGGTCTAACAGGACTGTAAGCAAACGTACCCCTCACTCAACTGTCTGCTGTATTTATGCTCAATGTTTATGTCTTTGTTTTTGGACTGAATACAACATTACTTGTAACAGTCAATAGCAAAACGCCAACATTCATAGCTCAGTCAAAGGCCAAGACCAAATTCCCACTGAACTCTAGTGAGATCTTTTGGAGCCAGTGAGGTTGGTTCACAAGAACTAAAACGATGTCCGAGAACTCCACATTTTTGCTCGTTGTACTGACTGTCCCTTTCGGACACAGCTCAAGAGATGCAGATCTGGCCTGTTCCTCCAGCTCACAGCACCATGGCCTGCCCAGAGTTTGCTACCAGCTGATGTGTGAAGAAGCCTCTTTCTGGTCCGTTATTATTTGGAGGCATATCTCCATCAGAAAATAGATCAAGGCAGGGGAAATAAGTCCAAAACATTTCCATAATTTTAACTGTTAATCATTTTAAGACTCAAAATTATGATTAAAATTTTTGTTGTTTATTTTTGTTTTTTGAGACAGGGTCTCCCTCTGTTGCCCAGGCTAGAGTGCAGTGATGTCATCATAGCTAACTTCAACCTCAAACTCCTGGGCTCAAGCAATCTTCCTACCTCAACCTCCCAAGTAGTGGGGATTACAGGCATGTGACACCACATCTGGCCATTGTTTCTATTTTTCTGTAGCTATGAGGTCTCACTACATTGCACAGGCTGATCTTGAACTCCTGGCCTTAAGTGATCCTCCTGCCTTGGCCTTCCAAAGTGCTAGGATTACAGGTTTAAGCTACCACGCCCAGCTGAATTATGATTACATTTTTTACAATGGTTATCTGTAGATTGCAAATATTTTAGTGTTGTCCAATAGAAATTAAAATGCAAGCCACTTTATAATTTAAAATTTTCTTGTAGAAAGAAACAGGTGAAATGAATTTTAATAATATAGTTTGTTTAACTCAATATATCCAAAATATTACCGTCTCGGCATGAAATCCCTATTAAACATTGAGATGTTTATGTTCTTTCTTTGCTTTAAGTCTTGAAATCTAGTGTCCATTTTATACTTCCAACACACCTCAACTTGGACTAGCCACACCTCTGGGGCCCAGGAGCCACTTGTGGCCAGCACAGCTCTGTTTTCCATTCCTAGATGCTGCCCAAGTGCCAGCCTTTCCCCTAATGGCGTAACTGTGTAAAGGCCTTTGGGAAAGCATCAGGTGGAAGATGTTTTTATTCACCAACTTAAATGATTTTCAGCACCCCCATAAGAGTCGCTAGAAGAGCAGGAGATGGAGAGAACCTGGGCACCTCAGGCCAGGTCCGAGGGGGTGCAGGTTCTTGCTCACTCTGTGGGCAGAGGCTATCTTGGCACCACCGAACCCACATGCTCACAGGCTCCTCTGCAACCTACCGAACCCCAAGCTGGAGTGTGTGGTTCATGGTAGGTCTGAGTTTCCTTTATCTCACCTTCCTCCAGAAGCAAGCAGGCTTCTAGAACCTGCAACAGGGCAGGCTGGTGATGCCCCCTCGTCAGGGAGGATGCTGAGGAAGGCGCTGGGAGGCAAAGAGGGCAGAGAAGGGGATTCTAGAGAAGATAAAAGACCATGAACTCTGGGACCAGCCAGTTATAGTTCCCAACTTCACCACATAAGGGTTGTCTGAGCTCCCTGAGCCTGGTTTCCTCATTTGTGAAATGGGGACCGACTTCTTGGGGTAGTTTGAGATGACAGGAGACACACTGAGGGCCTGGCATGAAGGACAGTGACCATGCTCAGCTTGCTTCCATCTGAAGGAGCTGTGTTACCTTCTGAAAGGCCTCCCAGTCTCTGCCCAGCTACCTTCTTCACTTTCTCACTCTTCTGCCTCCCAGGGGCAGACACTGTCAACACCCCGACCCAGACCCCTCATCTCAGACAGTCCCTGCGTCTCTCTGCCTAAGGATGCTCCCCAGGAAATAGGACAGTGATGGGACAGGCAGCGGGTGGGGAGAACTGCCTGAGAGTTGAGGGTCCTAGGACCTTGGACCCCCCAGCAAGGAGGAATAGGGGTTGATAGAGCAACCTGGGGTGCATTCCATGTGCTTCTTTAGAGGGTCCCAAGCAGGATTGTGCCCAGGTTGCCCACAGTGATAACCCACTCATTATTAACATGCTCTGATTGGCTGTCTTCCCTCCCTTCCTCCCCTCCCCACCCCTCACTGTGCTTCCTGGGATCATTTCCCTTATAAACTCCTCACACCCAATCCTTCCATCAGGGCCTGCTACTAGGGCAATCCAAACTAAGACACTCCCCATCTGCAATGTCCTTCCTCCTCTGTCTGACTGTAGAAATCTTGCTCATCCTTCAAGGCCCAGCTGAAAGGCCACCTCCTCTGAGAAGCCTTCCTGGTATGCTGTCAGAAACAATGCACCTTCCAGTACTTTCCACTGGTATGTGCCACTTTTTCTTCTGTCTCGTACATCTGCTGTTTCGCTGTGTCACAGTCAAATGTCTGAGTTATTTCTCCCTACGTTGGCTGAGATCTCCATGAGCACAGAGCTGAGTCCTAGGGCCTATTATACCACCTCACATCCTCAGGAAACCTCTGCCAATTATTGCAACTTTTACTACTGCTACTAACTAATATTTAGTAAGCACTTACAATGTATGAAGCACTTTATATGTAATTTTTATCCCCAAACCTCACAACCATCCCTTTAGGTGATAGGAATTAAAATCGTCGTGCCCATTTTAGAGATGGAAAAACTAAGGTGAAAAGATAAGTAATTTAGACAACGTCTCACAGTCAGCTAACTCAGACCTGGAGTTCTTCACTACTATGTGACTGACTCAATTTGTAAACTCTTCTCTGAGGAGCTGTCAGTGCTGAGTATTTCCCTTGGTCCCCATTGATGGAGAATTAATCACAGATGAGGCAACTCCATCAGCTCAACGTTTACTTCAACTGAAGCAACCAACAGTCAGCCATGCTCCCTGAGCCCCCTTCACTTTGTCCTAGAGGCCACGGCTGGGGGGTGACCACAGAGTCTAGTAGGCCAGGAACAGAAGAAACAGGCCAGGCCCTCAAGAATATCCCCAGAGAGGAAGAGCCAAGAAACCCTCCAGGGCAACCACTGACAAGCAACTTAATGAGGGGTCCCCATGGGGTCCCCATATCCTCCTGTCCCAGGAGTCAGGTGTCCACAGGCCCAGCCCACCAGTGCCCTGCCACTCCCTAAGCATTCTCCCCACCCTGCCCTCATGGCCTCGCAGAGGTCAACCTTTTACTGATTCACTGGTGCCAGGGATTAAAAAAAGAAGCCTTATAGCCAGACCCAAAAGAGTACACACTATAGGATTCCATCTGCCTCATGTTCAAAAATAAGCAATAGTAATTTCATGGTGTGAGAAGCCACGATAGTGGTTCCCCTTGGAGGGCAGGAGGGAGAGACTGGGAAGGGCAGTGACTTCTGGCGGCTGGAAATAGTCTGTTTTTTGGTCTGGCTGCTAGTTGCATAGGTGTGTCCACTTTGTAGAACTTCCTAAATCCGTTGAGCTAAGCACTTAGGATGTGTGCACTTTTCTGGATCTATGTTACACTTAAAAGAAAAGTTCATTCTGGAAAAAGTTTTTTCAAAGGAAAAAAGAAACATTTTAGGATGCCAGCCCACTCTCCAAGGTGGAGGACACTCTTCCCAGGCCCGGGAGGCAGCACACAGCTGGTGCTCTGAGAGCAATCAGGTGTGATATGAACTATAAAGAGAATGGGATGCAGGGGACCTAAGAAGGGCCCTGTGGGGGCTGAGTAGCTGGGAGCCCCATCTGGAGGGAGGAGCAAGCACTTTCCCAGCCCCACCAAAGCGCCAGGGGGAACCCTAAACTCTGAGAGGGATCATGGAACTGCAGACAGCAAATCCTACGAGACTGTCAGGGGGAGGGTGGCAGCCTGGATGGGGCTGCGTGGGTGGGTGTGGGCTGGGGTGATCTGAGGTGCGTTGTGACAGGATGAGAGGCTGGGCTGGGATAGGATGGGATTTGAAACTGGGACCCAGACTGTGGCAGCTCTGCATGCAGCCCATCCAGATGAGAGATGCGGAGTCTGGATTTCATCCTGCCCAGAGATGGACATTTCTTAGCAGGGAAGTGGCATCCTTAGAATCTCCCCAAGGGGTCACTCTGGCAAAGGTGTGGACTACGGGGCTCAAGCAGGGAGGCCCAGAGGGGACCTGGGACTCTATGGAATGGGCCCACATGTCACACGTCGGGAGACACAGGAAGGTGCAAGAGGAGGGAGGTGTTGCCCGCCGGGCTCACGCTGGAGGCTGAGGTCAGCTGTAAGGGAGCTGGGCATTTCCTTCTTCTCATCCCTCGGGAGGAACAGGATTCTATTCTGAAATAGGCTGACTTCCCCAGAGAGAGGCACAAAATACTCACAGTGGGACCACAGTAACCACATTCCAGCAGCCAGGACCAAGGAGGCTGAACTATGACAGCCCCAGTATCTGTGTCATGCATAGAAATTCTCAGAACACTTCCAGCCAGTGATTTGTTTTGAGCCTCACTAGAACTCATATCATTATACCCATTTTACAGGGGCAAAAAACAGGCTATGAGAGGTGGCATGCCTGCCCAAGGTGACACAGCCAGCAGGTGACAAAGTCAGGAGGTGAACCCAGACTGGGGGCGAGGGGGCAAATGCCCCATCCTGTGATCTTTCCAGAAAGACATTCTCTATACTCCCCACTTGGTTCTTTGGTGGGAAAGGAACAGGAAGTCTTGGAGAGAATAACAAAAGCAAGTGCAAAGCACATGCCCCCTGCTCACCTGTGTGCGTGCGGACGTGTCTCTTCAGGTCGAAGGTGTCGTTGAAGCCCTTGCCGCAGAAGGTGCACAGGTGTCTCTTTACCTGGTTGTGGCACTTGAGGTGACGGTTGAGCATGCGCTGCAGGCGGAAGCCCTTGCCGCACAGGTCGCAGCGGTGGGTCACCGAGTCGCCGCATGTGCCTGTGGTGAACTGGGACAGAGAGAGGGCGTGAGGGTCCCTGTGCAGGTGGGCACGTCCCGGTAGGCTCACCAGGGAGACCCACCTCCCTGTGTCTCGAGGTTTGGCCTATCTATGGCTTCTGCCCCTAAAAATTCCGAGCAGGTTTTGGCTTTGGGAAAGGTGAAACAACAGCTGGCAGTTTCTCCCAGTATTCATTCTCCCCTTCTTCCCTAGAACAGAATTCTGATTTCTAGCTGGTCGCACTGTCTTACAACAGCCTTACAACAGGCATGGTTGTGTAACTACCTGGCCCATGGGACAGAAATCTCCTTGTGGAGGAAAGAATGGTGCCCTCTCCCTTCTTTACTCATTCCTGCTGGCTAGAGCAAACCCTCCAGGGCAACCAATGACAAGCAACTTAATGAATGGTCCCCATATCTTCCTGCCCCAGGAGTCAGATGTCCACAGGCCCAGCGCACCAGTGCCCTGCCACTCCCTAGCATTCTCCCCACCCTGACCTCATGGCTGGCATGGCCTCACAGAGGTCAACTTTTTACTGATTCACTGGTGCCAGGGATTAAAAAAAGAAGCCTTATAGCCAGACCCAAAAGAGTACACACTATAGGATTCCAGCTACTTCACACTCAAAAATAAGAAACAGTAATTGGACCAGGAGGTGGAAGCACGTGCTGAGGATGGAGAAGCAGAAAGGAAGGAGTCTGGGTCTTGATGACATCACGGAACCTGTTATAGATAGTCCCCAAAGAGCCACAATCCATTCCTTTCACCCTGTACCTGCAGGCTATTCCATCCACCCAGAGATGGAGACGATTCCCCTCCCCTTGAAACTGGGCATACTTATGACCACTTGGACCAATAGAGAGCAGCGATATGTCAGTTCCAGGTCTTAAGAGACCTTGCAGCTTCTACTTCCTCCCTCTTGGAACCCAGCCGCCCTGTAAGAAGTCTGAGGCCACCATGCTGTAAGGAAGGCCAAGCTAGCTGTGTAGAGAGCCGAGGCCACATGGAGGAGCACTGAGGGGCCAGATACGAATAAAGCCTCACTGGATCTTCTAGCCCAATCCAGGGCTGCTACCAACTGAGTGAGTGACCCCAGAGTAGGACTGCCTAGCTGAGCCGCGCCCCAGTTCCTGAACCACAAAATCACGAACCCATAAAATTATGATTTTGGAAAGCGACTTGATCAAGATCCCACAGCTTCATCATCAGTAAAACCATAACCAAACTCCAGTGTCCAGACTCCCTGCCCAGTGCTGTCTCTAAAGAAAACTGAATCTGTACCCCCATAATATGCTGAAATAAAAAAAAAAAAGAAAACTGAATTTATATCTGTGTGATGAAAAATACCAGATCTGATATATTCAAAGGTTACTAATTCAGATCCTTTAGAAGATAGATCCAATTGCTCTGCCAAAATTCTGTTCATCAAAAGGCCTAAAAAATTTACTTTCACCCAAACATTATGAACAAGAAGATTGATCCTTTCCTGGCTCCACCCTCTCCTAGCCTCAAATACCCTGTTCCTTTCATCGAACCTGGGCACTGCCCTCCCCTAAGGCCCAGCACCATTGCTCCCTCGCTGCTGCAGCCTTTTCCAAATACTGCAGCCCATGCCCAAAGGGCTCGCTGTCCCCCTTAGACCAGTGCCTTGCAGACGCCAGCGTGCCCATGCCTCCCCAGGGGGTCTTTTTAAAATGCAGGTTCTGATCCAGGTCTGATGGGGTGTACGGTGCTGCATTTCTAACCAGTACCCAGGAGATGCCCCTGCGGCTAGTCCACGCACCACAATTGAGAAGTGGGGCTAGAACGCTAGCCCTCATGGAGTTCATACTTCATTCCATTTCCTTCTAGGGGTTTGTTACACACACAGTTCAACCCAAGGCCTTCAGGACAACCAGCAAGTGCTCATTCACGTCCCCGCCTCCCTACCCCATGCCCCATACCTAGCCGAGGGCCAGCGCCCAGTGAGCGTGTGTTGATGGGCAGCAGGGAGCAGGTGGCAGGATGCAAAGAGACTCAAGGGAGGCACAAGACCCCAGAACAGGGTTTCCCAGGCAGCCTCCTCCACCAGCAGTTCATGCTCATTTGCTTGGAGCTTAATTTGCCTCAGTGAACACTGACAAGTGCCTGATCTGCATGCAGCAGCCCTGTGCACAGAGCTGGAGGCAGCACAGTCACTGAGGCCATTGATATCTAAGAGGCCCAGGTGTAATGGATACCTGGGAGGGCACCTACCCTGGACGTGGAAGATGCTTCCCCAGGAAGTGAGCTCCTCAGCCAGATAAAGATGAGGAGGAAGAGAGGGGCTGTGGCAAAGAATCCCTCCAGGAGAGGATGGTGGGAAATGGGAACTGTGTGCGGTTCAGCAGCTGATGACAAGAGCAGTGGTGGCTGAGAAGGGCAGGGTCCCCTAATGGAGCTGGAATATAGTTAGAGGGCAGGAGGGAGCCACGGAAGGCAAGAGAAGACAGCCACAGGGGTTGAGTTTGATGACCCAATGGGAGGCTGTCCTGGATCCCCAACTGCCTCACTTCCCAGAACAGTTACTGTTCCCACCTCCCACCAAAGGGGGAGGGCCTGGCCCTTAGCCTGAGGGAGACCCCACTGTGCACAAGCCTTTCCTAGCTCCTTGCCCAGCAGTCCCCATCCTAGTCACTGCAGCCCTGGAAAGGGTGTGAAAAGACTAACTATGGCCCTCTAAGTACTTTGAACTTCTCAAGGCCAAGTCTACAGAGATAAAGGACATCTAAGAGGTAGTGAGAGGCTAATGAAGTAGAACGTAGATAACCAACCTTGGTAATTCCAAGTAATTAAAAATTAATTCCAGGTAAAAGCTAGAACTTTCTTTTGGAAGTCTTCTTGAATGTGCCCAAGGACTCACCAGCCATAGTTAAAACCTGAACTCTTGTTTACTTTAAACGTTTTGGTAAATTCCTATTTTTAAAAGTCTCTGCATGTAATATGGATACCTTCCATTATAGTCCAGAGTGAAAATCTCAAATCACTGGCATTATTTTGTTTGACAAGAATAAAATCTTGAAGAGTCTAGGGAAGGGAAATGAGTTGACAATTTAAGGGAGTGCAGGGCCAGAAGATCATCTGACCAAGACACAGAAAGCTTTTTAGAACAGGGGAGAAAATGGGAATGGGGAATGGGGTTGGAGACTGAGGTGCCTCATCACCAGGGGAACTTTCCTCTGTTTTTTTTTTTTTTTTAAGAGTAAAAACAGAAATTCTCCAGTGTCCCTGAGCAGAGGCAATTTTTTCATTTCTCCACTTTCACCTATAACCCCATATCGCAGCATAGAAAATTGAGTCACCAAGAAGTGGCTCATTTAGGGAATTCACTCCAAGGTGCACCCTCCATTTCCTGAAGCCCGCCTTGCCACACTTGTGACCAATCCAGCCACCAGACATTAACAAATTATATTCAAAGTCTGAAGACAGCCTTGTTGAAGAAAGATGGGTGTTAAGGTTAATTAAATGACTGATGAAGCCAGACTATTTCACTTTCCAGAAAGGAAGGGATATTTGTAAGATAAATTGCTAAATATGAAATGTATCTCAAAAGTGTATTTCACATGTCTTGTGCCTTGAAATTTGGTCTGTAATAGCAAAAAGCTGGAAACTACCTATATGTCCATCAACAGGGACTTATTCAACTTCCAGCCATGTGAGTGAAACCTCGTGGATGTCCAGTCCAGTCAAGCCCCAGAAGACCCCAGCTCTAGCTGTCATCAAGAGGGACCCCAGGCAAGAACTGCCCAGCAGAGCCCTGTCATTCCACGGAAGTGGGAGGTATAATAATAAACTATTTCGGCTACTAAATTTGGGGTTATTTGTAAAGCAGGAATAAATTAACTGGAACGGTAATAAACACATGAATCTCTCCAGAACACCAGATCTGTGACATGTCTAAGTGTTCTCTCCCAGGATTGGCTGCATGATACAGAAGATACATCTGATTCCTGGAATGATGTCCCATGGGCCAGAGGACTGGTTCTCCCTCCCTGGATCATGGGTCTGCTCACTGGACAAAACTTTATTATGTTTACACAGGCGTGTACCTAACACTTCACCTCCTAAAAGTTCAAAAAAGAAGTAACCAATTTTACCTGGTTCCTCCACTCTACAAATAGTAGACCAAACTTAGTTACAACTAAGTCATGTGAGTTACAAAACGATAGTGCAATAGAGAGACAAGAAATGCTGAGAACTGGCTAGTTGTGCGATGTGGGATGTCATGTAACACCCCTAGGTCACGATTTCCCCACATGTAAACAATAAAATGGTATCAGATGATCTCCTCAGCAGTACAAGAAGCTAAGAGCAGGGTCTGTTTTCCAACTTCCTAAGTTCCATTCCAGTACCACCACTTACAGACTGTGGGATGTAGGCAAGTTACTTAACTTCTCTGAGCCTTAATTTCATCTGCTGTAAATCATGGATAATATCGATATTTGCCTCTTGGAAATAAATTAAGGAATTAAATAAGAAAACCTACTTAAAAAGGACCTGGTGCTCGATAAGTCCTGTTATAGTTAGACCAGCTCCAAAATTCTGTGATCCTAAATAAAAGGTAATTCATCAAAATCCCTTTTTTCTCAATTTGCTTCTGAATTTTTCTCTCTAATGGCAGAAAAAGGGAACTAAGATTCAGAGTGAGCCACAAGGCTCCCATTCTTCATCTGCAACTCTGTGATCCCAAAAGCTCTGAAAACCAACATTCTCATACTTACCGTGACAGGAGGGGAGATACCATGATCATGAAAACCAACATTCTCGCCTATCTCCCTTGGCAGGGAAATCTGATCTGAGCTGATGTAAAAATATGCACAGACTTTATTCTATCAATATTCATGTGTTTTGATACAGAAATTATTAACATATTTAGTTATAAGGTACTGCTCCAGAGCCACCAGGGTGGTTTTACACCACGCTACCTTCTGAAAAAGCTTAATAGTCTCACCCTTAATCCAAAATTAACACCTTGCAAAAGGCTTATTAAC